AGGTATCAAGGTCTAGTCTGTCATGTTTTGCCCATCACCTAGCGTGATCTTCCACAGAATCCAGTATATTTATTAAATACAAGGGTTATTCGAAGAGTTCGTTGACTCCTGTCATATCTTTTTTGTTTAATGTCACATGCTAACTAAATTTAGTGGAAATAATTTAACAATCAATCCAAATGATTTGTTTATATTTTTTTTAATTATCGTGATTTATTTCAAACGTTTTCATAATTTAAAACTGCAAAAATCAGATTTTTAAGCAGGTCAAAATTTAGTTATTTACAAACAACACTCTAAATATATGACAAGTACTGATGTAATATTTTCTGTATAACGGAACAAAAACGGGGGGAATTTCTTAACTTTTAAATTAAAAACTGTTACACTGATTCATATTCCAATTTTTGGTTTAATATTTTGATTCGTTGAAAAGACATCAATTTTGGAAGAAAATTCCTCATTGAAAGCGCCAAAATGATGAAATTGAATAAAATCTGAATGACTTAGCGCCGGATTAATCAATAATATGAGTACCGTTAATATTTACACGTGATTAATCTCTCCTTTTCTCTTAATTTTTTCATTTTAAAATAAGTGTCACTAATTTAACAGGACAGAATTATTTAGACAATTTAATCGCGGAAATAGCTAAAACGAACACTAGGTATTTATGTTATTAACAGTCCTATAATAATAGTTACCAAAATTCTAAGTTGAGTTTATTTTACTTGATTTTTTCCAATAATGTATATATATCTTCCTTGGAATCATGTTAACGTCATATCATTACAGTATATATAACGCCAAAGTTAGATGTTGTACATGAAAAGATAAAAAAGGAAACTATAAAACATATTATTAGAAAATGACAACCGTGTTAAAAACCACAGATTCTAAGTTATCACAGAATAAATTTTCAATGAAACAATCAATTTTCGAACTTCACGGTTTAAGTTCCTTATTTCATAATTTTTAGGGGAAAAAAGAAAACATCTCCATAACACTAATAAATTGAATTGCTTGTAGTGTGCTTATTTCTAATATAATAATTATGCTGTTTATTAAAATTGAACAAAATGTGTTATTTTAATACTATATAGAGTAAAACCAAATCGAATACAATACTCAAAATTTGCCAAATAAATCAGGATTATCAAGTTTTATTTTTCAGTTTTAGCACGCATATTTAGTTACTGATTTATGGAAATGTTACAGAAAATAATTATCAGATTTCTGTGAGACAAGAATTGTTTGATTAAACTTTAATACTGTATGTCTAATTTGATGGTTTACCACCTGTGAGATCTTAATTACATTTTATGTTACACCAAGCACATTTTCTGTACTCCTTACCAAGATACTACTTTAAATCTTGTAAAAGAAAGATGCCTACAACTTTACTAAATTTGAGGAATAAATTCCGTTAATGATGCCTAACAACTTCAGTGTGATAAAATAGATTGTTTTGGACATAATTTGTAGGTAAACAATATGTAAAACCATACTTTAAACTGTCGTTTTCAATGAAAAATTAAGAAAATCAGACATGAATGTGAGAGTTTTTTCATATTCAAAAAAGAAAATGTATCCAGATTATCTACAGTCTGTAGGAAAACAGTAATTTGTATGTTCATGTCATTCTTTTTATAATAATATCAAATATAATATAGGTATCGGGATTACTTTGCATATGACTTCAAATTGAATGCCATGAAATACTATATTTTTCACATAATTCTGCTAAAGTCATAAAGTAGAGGATTGATCAAAGTTGAAAGTGATTATGACGTCATAATGGATAGCACCACAAAATAATACAGAAGTATTGAAACGCAAAATTGTTTGTGAACAGGACACAAAATGTTATTTTTAATGATTACGTTAATTTTTTAAACCCACTGACTAACAATATTGCAGGGGTGTTTTTTTTTTCTTTCTTACATTTCTACTCTAAATTTTCTTGATTAAAGTCAAGTATTTTTATACAATTAGATTATAATTACATGTTGAAATACATTTGTCCTATATCTCAGAGTGGAATACTATGACAATGATAAAGTTCGTGATTTTATACCGATGGCCAACATAGTAAAAAAACTTCAAATCTGAGTTCAAGCACCTTTGATACCACTATATAACCCCAACAATTTATATGAAAGCTAGTAAATATTAAATCGTAGAGAGCAGGATATGAAAAATGACAGCCATTGGGGTATATCTGATATATGGTGTATCCATTACTGATAAAATAGCAAAAAAGCCAAGATTTAAAATTCACATAATTATATTAAAAATATTTTCCCTTCACATATATCTATTTTGTTAAAGGGCATTATAAGGCCTAATTGTTTTTCATTTTTTTTTCTAATATTTGCAGAGCGTGTGATTTATATTGTTCCAAATTTTGATGAATATATATGAAAACCGAAAATATTTATAAAAAAAAAAAAAAACTTACTCCGAGCTCTAGAACTTTACTCTAGAGCAGTTGCTTCAACCACTGCACCAGGCGGGCGTCTTGGAAGCAACATGTGAGAGACTGAGAAGCCTTCTAGGGAATAGCCTGGTACGCTGCTTTTTTTCTTCATTTTTTAATATTTATAATTAAGGGATATTTTTTGAAAAGTTTTTGTTCTGTGGAATTTAAATCGAGTTCTTCAAATAAACAGTTAAATAAAGATCTTTAGAAGCAAGAAGTATGCTGTTTTTGTCACTATGTCTGTTATCTGTTATCTGGAACCTACAAAATATATTTTTGAAGGTCATTACGTAGAGTCCGTCATGTTTTAAAGTCTGTCAAAAAACATTAGTCTTACTTAGATTGAAAAAGGAGTAGGTGAAGGGATAAGATGTTAGACGTTACCTGATATTTACCTGATCATATAAATTTACATATATATAAGACAATTAGGAGACAATTTGTAGGTGATTGTAGTTGTCTTAGGCGTTGTCTCACATCGATGGGGTTTAAGTAAATATTAGATTTTGAAAAAGAATGTTATTAACTTTGTCAGTTATTTTCTAAAACTTTCATTTTGAATTCACGTTTTACATGCGTCTACAGAAAATATTAGACTTCATAGATTTATCATCTGACTACTATCTTCGCGTGTATAGGACATTTGTTTCTCTGTCTAGAATTGGAATACATGAGAATTGACTTGTGAGTATGTTTCTTGTTTGACATCTCTCTCTCTCTCTCTCTCTCTCTCTCTCTCTCTCTCTCTCTCAAGATTTTTTTTTCACTCATATGGAGACATCACCACTTGCCTGTGGCAAGCTGATTTTTTTTTATGTATTCTCGACACGCAGGTCCATTAAGCAGTGAGGGATCTTTTTTATGACAGCGACACGGGACTTAGGTGTATACATAATTATGTAGACATGCAGCATATTTATGTCAACATGCAAGTTATGTCAACTTAAGTGGACAAGATATAAAGTTTATGTTTGTTGACAAACCGGAGAGTTGTCAAGACTTAGAGAAAACGTTATCATGACTTGGCATGATATGCGATGTTAACAAAAAGTTATGAGAATGGCATAATATGCCACCATAAAAATCATATTCTCTTATAAGATGTGTAACTTGCATGTCATCATAATTATTTATCTTGCATGTAGACATATATTTCTTGCATGTTAGCATTATTTTTTATTGAATGTAGGGGGGGGGGGGGGGCAGAAATATGCCACCATGAAAATCAGGTTAAAATCTAACAGGTAAACGTCTAAATTCAATATCACGGAGTAAAATTCACATTTTTGAAATAGAATATTCGTACAAAATTCAAAGGTTTATCTGTTTAGAAAAACTTACCATTTTATGACGTAATCAATTTCATGTCAGCCACCTCCTTAAAGTACGTCCATCACAAACTGAAAACTTCTCATCAACTTTAATCCAAAAAGAATCTCAAATACGTAACTCAATATGTATATATAAATGGTTACATGTAATTTTACACCTCAAATCTCAATAAGAAGTTCAATTTTTTAAAAAATCAACTTCTCATAATATGTCGTCGCCCGCGTGGCGCACTGATTAGAGCGTCTGCTCTAGAATCGCGAAGTAAGGAGTTCAATCCCACTGTAGGACGTGGAGACCGGTCATACATGTAGGATGAGCCTGTATAAACCAAGATCCCGTGTCGCAGCAGGTGCTGGCATGAAAAAAGATCCCTCCCTGCTCAATGGCCTTACATGTAAGTGCCGAGTATGGGACAAAATTTGAAGACCTTTCACCGGCAAGTGGTGGCGTTTCAGTATGAGTGGAAAAATTCTCGAGTGGGACTTTAAACACTATACCATCAATCAATTTCATTATATGTCTGGTTGGCGCATTGATTATAGCGTCGTTCTGGTGCTTTAGATGAAGGAGTCAATCCTTATGTCATGGGTTCGAATCCTGCTGCAGGACGTGTATACATCCAGGTCCCATGCCGCAGTTGGCATTGGCACGTAAAAGCTCCCCGATGCACTGTTCATTGGCCCTGGCTGCCGGGCATAGGTTTAAATTTGCAGTCCTCCACTGACTAGTGGACTTTTACGAGAAGCACTGACTTTTACAATTGACGGTTTACTTGGACATTTAACTTGTATCATATACGGAGGTACAGAATTGTTAATACATATGAAAACCTTTCTAGTGCATGGTCATAGGTATGGTGTTAGGGACACTTACATGTGAAGTCCGAGAGTGCCGGGAGTTGAGGGTAGGGTAGTTGTGGTTGTCTTCAAGGGCAACTTATATGTATATTGAAATAACCCGTTTTTTGTTCAATTAAATGTTGTGGTAAATATGTATATCGTAAAAGAGCTACCGTACATAACCCTAGTGTAAAAGTAAGCTGTCAACTGTAAAAGTCAGCGCTCCTCGTAAAAGTCCAGTAGTCGCGTATGTCTCCATATGAGTGAAAAATTCTTGAGACATTAGCCAACGGACGGACGGACATTTAATATGTATAGATCTACAAATTTAACTGTTATTTTATTAGTTAAAAATATAGCTCACCATCGTTCTTGCCGCTCGATTCTCCTATTCTGTCAGGTACTGTAACAAAAATGAACAAAAATTTCGACTTGTAATTATGAAGGTTTGTGTTGAAGGGCAAAAAAGCTTTACATGTGTATAAATTTGTTATATTGCAATTGTTTTGTTTTTATTAGTCGTGATTTTCTACTTGCGCATACACATGGTGATGGAAATTCAGGTATCATACAACTAATAGACTTTTAATACACGATCAACTGATTTTTTGTTCAAATCTGATGTTAATATCTAATTCTCTAGAGTATACTAAATGAAAAACATTAGGAGAACGAAAAAAGGAAGAAATATGTTTGCTAGACAAGTGAAGAATCAAAAAAGGTATGTTCAGACTCGGGGCAATTCGAAAACGCCAAATTAAATATACATATTATCATTGCTTGGTTTATAATTAACTAGTACGTAATGTGTAACCAAGTTACCAAGTTTTAAATAGCGAGTTTTCGTTAATAGACTGTGTAGAGAAACGAAATCACAGAACCTTGACATAGTAAACTGATGATGTATACTTACTTATACTGGACGTTAGGACCGTTGTGCTTGGTGTTGATGAAGGAGCTGCAACTACAGAGAGAAATTACTTTAACTGAAAAAAATATATTGTACTCATAAAAATAAAATACGTAAAAGGCGACGTATACAAAGTTCTTACTGGAACATATGGACAAGGACAAATTGACGGGAAGATCATCGAAGTCGGACACGCGAAGAGCTTGATCTTTGCTGCTGGAAATATACTCCAGTTCCGTCTGAAATGTCTTGTCGCCCTCGATTCCGACAGCAAACACTTCAACCCCGTCCTGATGAACGCGTTTCGCTTCCTCTTTCGTTAAATATGGACTTACAGAAAGACCATCAGTAATCACAACTCCAATATGCGGCACTTCCGGTCTGCCTCTTTCTCCAAACATATCACGCATGCGCTTTAATGCTTTATGTGTACCAGTCCCAACATTTGACATTGAAATATTGCTAATGAGAAAATTCAGTAATGAAGGGTTATTGACTTGTCCAAGGTCATCCGTGCCTACTCGGAATATATAAAAACGAATTTTGTCTAATGTGTAATTTAAATGAAATTGCTGACATACAAGTTTGCAATGAATCAAATACTTTGGATGTAAATTTTGTAAACGCCTGTTTGGCTCTACGATATGTTAGAAATCACCCTTCAGTTCATCCGTTTAGAAACCAGTTTTGTTCTCATTGTGAGGGGTATGAAAAACAAAAGATTAAAACTCTCTCAACAATAACTGTCTGTCAGCCGAATTACGGGACCACAACAGCAACATTTATGAATCCATTAATGCGAGAATTATATTTTCCGAAGATAGGCATAAATCAGCAACTATTTGAAAACCGAAAAGTCAAGGTAAATATATCATTGTTATTCAAGACAAGAACTATATTCGGTATATTGCATATCTTTACCCCAACAAAAATTAAATTTTGAAAAATTCTTTAAACGTGTTGTATTGTATAAATTGTATAAAAATATAAATTAACAAAACATTTTATAATTTCAAGGTAGGTTATTGACAATTCTTTTTAATTTATGACGTCACACACCCGTCGGATTTTGCATTTTTCCAAGAAAAAGGACAAAGTTGACAAAATTTCAACAATTTTATTTATAGAATTTATTGAGCGCATGTCTGTCCAGGAACAATATTTGCATATTTAATTGATATTATTATTCTACACATTATATCAAAATAATGAGCCTGAACACACCTGCTCTCGGTGATTTTAACTCAAAATATTGACGGAATTTTTACATTTTTCTATAGAAATCATGGAAACTTTAGATTTACGTCATTTTTCTTACGTCATTTCAAAAATATGACGTCATTGCTGACGAAAACATTCAGTGTTTTGAAGTCAGCATGGATCCCCTTGTTTTAAAACATAATTAAATTTTACAAAGTTTGATTTTGGGGGCAAATATTGGTCACCACCCAATAAAGTTCTTTAATATTCACTTAAACTAGGAAGGTGCAATTATTAATTTATTTTAAATTGAATTGATTTAAACAGTTTAGATGATATCATTACCGTATAAGCCGAATTTTTAGCGAGAATTTAATGTTGGCATTATGAGCAAGGATACTGAAATCGCTTTAATGAAATATCGTTAAAAAATTAACTGCGATTTATTTGTAATAGCTTCTTTAGTGAGTTTTTTAAAATCGCTAAAATTTCATCTCGCTAAAAATAAAATACTAATTTTTATGGACAAATCCCTAAATTTGCGTCTCGCTAAAATTTCCACTTATACGGTATTACTTTTAGCTCACCTGAGCTGAAAGCCATAGTGAGCTTTTCTCAACACATGTTGTCCGAGTCCGTTCTGGAAAAATGTCTGTTATAAAGACATGTGCGCTTCAGATTTGCTAATCCTATGAAAGCAGAGTGAAGTAATGATAAAAATCAAAAAATTACATAGAAAATAATGTTAAAATATAAATTTAATGTTAAGTATTAGAAAAATGTTTTTAATTAATAGATATTGGATAACTGTGTGAAATGTATTGGGATAGTATTTTTTTAAATTCTTGACGCTATGTTTTGAGGTTACATTGCTGTTAAGTGTGCTCCGCGAGAACAAAACATGTTAATTTTAAAATTAAGTAAATTGATTTATGTTTTATCAATGGAATCAAACTTTGCACATCAACAAAACAAATATTTTTACATATTTTATTGTTATTATTTTATGTTGTACTAAGTAACACAACGAAGATTGAACGACACCGTCCATGAACTTTTATAACAACCCTCGTATTTATATGACTATTAGCTCATCTAAGCAGAAGCTTAAGTGAGCATTTCAGGTCACATACTTTTCATTAGTCCGTTTGGCTATCTGTTCGTCCTTCTGTTAATTTTTTTTTTACATTTTGGATTTCTTTTAAAGAACTTCTGTGTCAATTTTACCTAAACATGACAACAAGCATCAAGCACCAAGTTCATTCCCTTATTCAAGGGGAAACAATATTTTTAAAATCTCAAAACCCACGAACCCAAAAAGTTTAAATTGCTAAGAAATTAGTTACAGGGTGTTGATTCAAGGTTGTTAAAATCATACGCCCATGGTGAGGATGGTTTCAAAATTGGGGATCAAAACAAGAGATGAATAATGAGAAGATACAGAAAGATAACAATAAAAACAATACTGCTGACCTCACAATAGTTTGATTTTTTAAATGTGTTTAAATCATATACTGCAGCTGCTATTCGTGAGTTTGAAGTCATAGCACAAATAACATAACAATGCCTTTCATAACAAGATGTGTTTGTAAACACTGATGCCCCCGTATGGCAACATAGCAAAAATTAAGCTTTTCTTAAATGCAAATTTAATTAATTGGTACCAAAAGTAGGGTATTCTCACTGGAAAACAATTGTAAAATTTGAAAGTAAGCTAATGTTAAAGTTTTTTAATAATTACAAAAATCTCCAAGGTCAAGGTCAAAAGGTCAATGTAATTAGTATCAAATGAAAGGACTTGCGGCATAAAATACTTCTGTAGAGCATGAAAGCCCTAGCCCTAACCGTTCAGAAGGTATGGTCAACGTTCAATTTCTTAAAAAAGTAGGTCAAACTCCAAGGTCAAGATCAAAGAATCAAAGTTATTGTTATGAAATGAAAGGTCGTGTCATAATGATCAAATATGTAAAGTATGAAAGCACTAGCCCTAACTCTTTAAAAGTTATGGTCAAGGTTTGCTTTTTGAAATAGGTCAATAGGGAAATAGTTCTTGTATCCAATGAAGGGTCTTCTCACAAGAATTACATGTATGAAGTATGAAAGCCCCATTCTCTACCGTACAAAAGTTATGGCCAAAGTTAAAAATTTTTCACAAGTAAGAAAATCTACAAGGTCAAGGTCAAAGGGTCAAAGTTGTTGGTATCCAGTGAAAGTTCTTTTAACAAACTTTACATATGTGAAGTATAAATGTCCTGTTATTTACTGTTCAAAAGATATGGCCAAAGTAAAATTTTAAAATTTTCATGTAAAAGTGGGACAAACTCCAAGGTCAAGGTCAAAAGGTCTAATTTGGTGGTACCCAAAGAAAGGTCTTGTCACAAGGAATACACATTTTAAATATGAAAGTCATAGCTCCACTAAATCAAAAGTTATGGGCAAGGTTAAAGTTTTTGCGAACAAACAGACAAACAGAGAGACAGACAGACAGACAGACACGACAAAAACTATATTCCCCCGAAACTTCGTTTACGGGGGCATAAAAACAGATCGATTTGAAATATTTCTTTCATCTGATAAAGAAGAAAATTAGTACCGGTTATTGTGGCATTTTGAATTGGTACAATCCTTAGGATAATTATATACACCCTAGCCAAAGTAAACTGATCTCGCGTGCTCGGTCGATATGACTTTTCTGAGGTCTGTATATATAGGGGTTGACCTCATCTAACGGCCATAATTGTATGATATTTCCTTTTGTGGCTTTAGCAATAAAAATATTATTTTATTCCAGAATATGGACTATGTATGTTATCCCGGAAGGATTTTCGTTGGAGAAGAATGTGTACCTGTCATACGACATCCACAACAAATTACCTATGCACTATACATACTATGTGAACTAAACGTTACATCAACAAACAATGATACCAACAGACTTATTGGGCTAGCTGGTAAATCTGTTGGAAAAAACTTAAGTCTACGACTTTCAATCACCAGCACTATTGTTTTCAGCGAATATTTCTTTCTACCAATAGATCCCATTGTATCATCATTCAGTGAGGGGTATTTTCAGCTTACACTGCAAGCGAACTTATATTTTGAATTGACTTACCTTAAATCGTTTGATAGGGATAATGTAGAAAGATATCTCATAGACTTACCAGCCAATTTGGCCGTGAACGTTAAAGCACAAGACGACGATAAATACATTTCAATTGAGCTTAAAGGCATAAGCTTGTCAAACTTCAGCAAATCTTTGAAATCGGAAAAATATTTACTACCCAATAAACATGAACTATTCATCGATCAAAAATATAGATCGCTGCTTTATATAACTCCATCAACTTTAGTTTATGTAAGTAATTTACTTTTATGTCGTCAGAGAATGTTTAACACAAGCGAAGTTGAAGTTGACAGCAAGGGGGTTATATTTTTTTAAAAAAGACTAAAGAACACTTCTACATAGGCGACTATGTGAGAGATTTTAGCGGGAGATTTCGAGTGTGTGTCAAGTCAGACGAATACTATATCAAAAGTGTTCCGCACGAATAAACAGAAACCCTCTAAATCTTTACAACTGTTTTAAACATTATAAGCATCGTATCCTTGTTTATTTTGTTTGTAATTTACATGAAAGTTCCCGGATTGCGCACACTCCCAGGTTTAAGTATCATGAGCACAACATTTTCTCTTTTCTGTATGCAAGTAACGTATACAGCAGCCAATATTGTGCAAAGATCGACCTTGCTGTGTCAGATAATGGGTGTAATGTTGCACTATTTCTGGCTTTCCCTTTGTTGTTGCCTGTTTATCTGTTCTTTTCATATGTTCAGAACATTTGCTTCACAAAGGTTCACTGGAAATAATCTTGGTCAAAATATCAGGGTGGCATTTACTAATTACACCATCTTTTGCTATTCCATACCCTTACTTGTAATTGGTACTAATGTGATTTTAACGTTTGTTTCAGAAGTTAACACCGGTTATGGAAAATATTTGTGTTTCCTTGAAAACCTCACTCAAAACATTGTCACCTTCATTGTTCCATTGACTCTCACTTGTACATTAAATACTGTTTTCTTTATTCTTACCCTTTTTAACATAAAGTTTGTTAATAAAATCTAAAAAAAAAAAAACAACACTTCAGAGCTGCCTTTTTTCCATTAAACTGTTCAGTCTCACGGGTACAGTTTGGATACTTCAGGTGCTAGATAGCCTCTTACATATCTCGGCTTTTTCATTTGTGGTAACCTTTCTGACTTCCTCACAAGATAAATTTATTTTGCTGAGTTTTTCTAGTGCTTTACAGATTTTACGATGACGATGATTAAAATCTCTCTTAAAGAAACGAAAGAGCATAATCCGACTTTGCATTCTCAAGTGACATGACAACGGATTACTTCGATATTTACACAAGCATGATTTCCATATGAACAGAATCATGATTAAGCAAGATATTTTGATGGTAAGTTAAATAAAATAAAATAAATCAATGTGTTTTCAGGATACCGCGGATATAATTTGATGCTGCCATTTGTATATGCGATTGATTAATTGATTGTATAATGTTTAACGTCTCTCTCCAGAATATTTCAGTGATATATAGACGTCACAATTGCCGGTGAAGGGCTGCAAATTTAGGCCTATGCTCGGCACTTACGGCCTTTGAGCACGGAGGGATCTTTATCATGCCTAACCTGCTGTGACACGGGGCCTCGGTTTATACGGTCTCATCCAAAGGACCGCCCCATTTAGTCGCCTTTTACGACAAGCAAGGGGGTACTGAGGACCCATTCTAACCCGAATCCCCACGGGGCTTTGCATATGCGAATATAAGTTTGGAGATGACATTTTTCTGTGTTTGTTCCTTTAGAAAAGTGTATTTTTTAAATTCAGAATTGAATATTAGCTATCAGCTATTATTACACAAAGAGTTGCTATTTAAATAATGCTCTTGCTATCACCAATCCAGTGCTTTACTAACGGAGCTAAGTAAAACGATACCCACTACCAAAGCACTTTCTTCCTAGCTTTTTGTTTGCGCATCCACTGCTACACAAAGAAGTTACCTTTGCTCCTAGAAGTTTACTTTTCATTTCAATGGTACTCAATTTTCAAGGCACCAAAGCTAAAAAGGAGAAAAATGTAAGAATTAACCTTGAATGAAATCTGAGACCCCAATCCTCACTTGTTAGGTGCTCTATCAATTGAGGATTCAGTTATCCAGGTCCATAACCACCACCCAAGATAAATATTCTTGAGAAGACGATACATTCCTCAATTGCCTTTAAAGAAATCCTCTTTAGAAAAAAACGAGGGAAATTTATACATCGTTCAGCTTACTTAGAATACCTCTGATCATGGGACGAGTTTTATTTCCTTTTGATTTCTGTCCTTTCCAAGAAAGAATTTATTACTAATGTTTGCATAGCTCCACAGACTTTTATCCCGAAAATTAAAAAAAAAAGCTCTGCTTCTTAAAACGCATTGGCAAAAGAATATACAATGTAATTCATTACTTGATGCAGTACTTTAGTGAAAGAATTCAGCCGTTTCATCCAATAATTCGGATTTTCTTTTTTTGTTTTTTGATTTTTATTTCTTTGCTATACTTTGTTAAGGATTTTTGCAAGCATGCATGTTCATAAATGTTAGATTTGTTATTTGCGTGGAATCATATTCAATAGAACAAAGATATATAATTCAATTTTTTAAAAAGAAATTAACATAATAAAATAAAAAATCAAAGTAATATGCATTTAACATTAACAGTCCGAACACTGAATTCATGTTCGAACTAACAAATTTTAATAGACGTAATACATTATGTCATGAATAAAAGTTATACGCAATACATTACGTCATGAATAAGAGTTATACCTAGCTTATAGATAAATGATATTGTGTTTAAAACAATTCATTGATGGGGCTTCAATATGACTGAATTATTAAGACCGATTTGTGTGTGATATATCAGAAAGAAAACCAGATGTTTTAGAGTTAAAATGCAGAAAGTCGATAGAAACATTAATGGAGAGAGCATTTCGTTGTAAAAAAGTTAAAGAAGCTAAAAATTATGATGCCATTGATAGAATTGAGCAGCTGGGTTCAGCTGAAAGAGTACTCTGTCACAGGAAATGTCACAGTGAATTTATTCATCCAAAATCTATTAAAGCAATAGAAACAAAAGCTATTGTCCTTGAAGATATTTCAAGGTCGAATACAGATTCAAAGAAATTACTGTCTACTTCTACGTCTTCCAATCTCTCCTCTTCATCGAGAAAGTCATTTCTCCTAAAGATTGGGAGTTATGTATGTTTTGTCAAAAACAGAATCGAGAAAAGCTATTCAACTTTACAACCTTTTCTGTTAGTGACATGGTCTTACAGAATGCCAAATATGACTAGGCATTGCGAGTTAAAGTAGGGAATGTTAGCGATTTGATTGCTGCAGAGGGTAAATACCATTTAAAATGTATGAATGCATTCTAGTATGAAACGCAGAAAACAGAGAGAGTCCCATGATTGTTCTTGTTCGTGAGCTTGAATAAGCAGGGAATAAGCCCCAAGTTTTGCAGCTTTCTGATATCTGGAATAAATACTCTAGACTGATGAGATTGGGTCTGAAATTCCTCAGTCTTACATTACTCGAAGATCGACATTCAAAGATAACCTATAAATAAAGGTGAAAAGTATCTTTCAGTTTGTCTGTCCTATGGATAGAACAATCTCTGAACGCGAAACGCTTCTAATGCCACATACTTGGTCTGCATCTCATTTTGGAGAAATATTCAATGAGGGACAAGGTATCTCAGATGATAAATTTCTCACCATGCCATGTTATAAGCCCACACAAAAGTCTTTTCAAGAACTTTACATGTTACATTGAAATTAAGATCAGATCTGCAAGATAGAAGTGGGCATATAGTTTTAAACGTGATTGAGGACGATGCCATTGACTGTGTTCCAGAAAGTGTTCTCATTTATTGAAATCTTCTTTATGGCGGGCAAGAACTTTTTGAAATTGCTTCCAGCGAAGGGCATCCGGTATGCACTAGACAAAAGAAAGTATTAAAGGATTTTTATCACCACACTTTATTTTTTGATATAACAATAATTATATGCTATTAAAAGCAAAAATAAAATTTTCTTTTACCAAAAATGTATAAATTCGTTGTTTTTGCAATTCAAAGTTCAAAATTCTCAATATGCATATTTTCATCGAGATTTCACGCGCCATTGCTGTGACGTCATAGGTGTCAATTCCGGTCAACCGAGAAGGCGAGAAAGCGCTTGTTGTGTTTACATAACGGGTCAATTAAGATCCGTTAGCAAACAAATTAGTGATAAGTGGACTTAAAATTGTTACAATGGTGTATTGTGCTGCTTACGGGTGTAACAACGTGCACAAGAAGGGGTGTGGTAAGAGTTTTTTTACGTTCCCGAAGGACACTGGTCGGAGGAAAACATGGACATTTTTTTGCAAGCGTCAGGGGTTTGTGCCGACAAAAAACCATCGTTTGTGCTCGGACCACTTTTCCAAACATCAAATTCTAAGGGATCCTGCCAATTTGGAACAGTTTGGCTATGCTGGGGCTCGGATTCGACTGAAAGAAGACGCTGTGCCAGACGTCCCTCTTCCCATCCCCAGCGAAAATGCCGCCATTTCCCTTGTCCTTCCCCCCAGACCCCGAGGGGCCTACATGAAGCGCCAGAAGGCTGATGTAAGTAAATTACTCTATTTTTTAGGAACTAGAATTGGATATGTATAACACTTTATAGTAGGCCCTTATTATAATTTTATTTGGAAATAACTTAGTTTTCATTCATAAATTCTTGTATTTCAGTACACTGGTACTTGGTCACTTTGTGGTAACATTTGTTAGTATTTTTTTTAAACTGTTACTTGTTGCATTCGCTGAAGTTTTTTTTAAATATTCAAATAGAGGGGTTGAATATTCTATGAACCATAACACTACTTCCTACATAGAATTAGAAATCAGAAAATATACTGCATGAATGGGAGTGGGGGGGGGGTCCGGTCACAAGTGTAGGGCTGTTTCGATTAACATGAAAAAAAAAATTATGATTACTTTTTGTTATACTAGAAAAAAATTATCAAAATTTGTTAAACAGTGTTAAAGGTGTATTCAACCAAGTCAAGTGGTTGATTTGAATATTCAGAAATAAAATAAATCATCATTCATTCATTGTTTTACACGGACCCAGGGGTAAGATCAAAGCCTAAGGGTAAATTATGTTTAATATATGTTTCAAATGATTTAGATATTTTTCTATGCAAGTATAAATTATTTCAGATCATACATCATGCTCTACAAGAATTGGAACTTCGGCATCCAAATTCAGAGAACATTGCACCCCTGGAGACTACACCACAGCCTGAGAAAGCATTGGAGCCTACCGACACACAAGAACAGAACTCTACAGCAGCTGAGCAACCCAGTGGAACTGATTCAGAGAGCAACACCGGGCCCCTTCCAATTGTACTTCAGTGTGAGAAAGGAACAGAGCCTACTCAGCCTATCGACTCATTCCAACCTGAGAGCACAGCTGCTGAGCAACCCTGTGGAACTGATTCAGAGAGCAACACCGAACCCCTTCCAATTGTACCTCAGTGTGAGAAAGCAACGGAGCCTACTCAGCCTATCGACTCATTCCAACCTGAGAGCACAGCTGCTGAGCAACCCAGGCAAACTGAAGCTTCATCCAGGTGCAAGAAGACTGTATCAAAAAGGTGCCAGGCCAGTGTTCAAGTTCCACAGAGAACAAGGCGCATTCAGGTATCTATGGACAAGAAAGCCACAGTTTCCACCGGTACTCAGTGTTCCACTTTGTCTGACGGCATTCCTCTTCGTGTAGCTGCTGGATTGACCCCTGACCTATCCCAACAGTGTGCATTAGAGACTGTACTAGACCATCACAGTGATACTGAGAGTGACATTGAGGACCATTGTGCACGCGAGGACCCTGATTATGACCCTGTTGACAAGGAGGACCCAGAGAGTGACGACAGTGGCGATGAATGTGAAGAGGGATTTCGTCTACACAGTGATGTTTCCCCAGAGGAGGAAAGACAATTTTTAGTGTCAGAGGTTCAGTTAGCCCAACTTTTGCAGAACTGTGTTATATGCGGAAGTCCATGTGAAACAGTGGTGAAGTACACTCGTGGTACTATGATTTCAACATCATCTGCATGTGCCAGTGGCCATACTCGTACTTGGGAGAGTCAGAGATGTCACCAAGGAATGCCCTGGGCGAATCTGCTGGTTGCTGGTGCCATTGTATTCAGTGGAGCCAACGCCTCTAAGAGCCTTAGACTGTTTCGACATTTGAATCTACAAATGATATCAACTTCAACATTCAGCAGACTTCAATCCTCATATGTGGTACCAGCGTCAGTGTTCACCTGGGATTTCCATCAACAGACCCTCCTCGACGAATACCAGGGAAGAAGGCTGACCTTGGGTGGAGATGCACGGTGCGATTCCCCAGGCTTCACTGCAAAGTTTGGTTCTTACACGTTGATGGAACTTAGCAGTGGAAAGATTCTGGATTTCCAATTGGTTCAGGTATTTAAAATTTTGCTAAGAAATCATATATTTTTGTATTTAAATAGTTCTTTAAATCAAGTGATATAAGTTCCAAAAAAAAAAAAAACATGCTCATAAAATTTCAAAAATCTTGAAAATGTAAAAATTATTTTCAAATATAAAAAGAGTTTGGAATACTAACAAAGTGATCAATGTTCTTTAATTAAAACTGATTTTGGTTTACAGAGTAATGAGGTAGCAGGATCCACGCACATGGAGTTGGAGGGGTTAAAGAGGGGGCTTCAACGTCTTGAAGATGCAGGTCTTCAGGTGGAAACTCTCGTCACCGACCGACATGGTATGATCAAGAAGTATATGAGGGAGGAACATGAAGACAAGAACCACTTTTTTGATGTTTGGCATGTGGCAAAAGGTAATTATCCATTCTTCAAATAAATGTAGAAATTTTTTTATAGTGACTACTTTCCTATAGTTGGAACATGATGCAAAGATTAGAAGTATACATTAAATAAGAGTAAAGTGTGGAATTTTTTTTTTTATAAATAACTAAAAATATTTTTGTATTATCAAGGCATTTCGAAGAAACTGGAAGGCGCATCAAAGAAGAGAGATTGTGGCACTATCCGACCCTGGATCAAGTCCTCTGTCAACCATTGTTATTTGGTGGCTGCTTCCGGTGGTGTAGACTGTGACCTAAAAACCCTTTAAGTGTCGCTCAAGATATTGTCTATGGGTTAAGTGATGGGAAAAAGTGGACTTCAAAGCATATTGGCCCTGTTTGTACATTACACCAAATAACAAAATCAAAACAGCTCTTGAATTTATTCAATAGTGCCGGTCATACGCTCAGTTATAAGGATGTGCTGAGAATAGACACAGGTCTAGCAGAAAGTAGGCTCCAGTCTATGGACGAGAGAAGTGACCATTTTTTACCATAAAATTAAAAACCTAATGTTTTCACACATTTCACGGCCGATAATATAGACATTAGTGACTCGACACTGGATGGCAAGGACACATTTCATGCAACGCAGATTGCTTGTTGGCAACGTGGATTAGGAAATGACCTTGACCTAAAACATATATTTCCATCTACAAATGAGACTTTACAGGTACCTTCTCAGACATACAGGATTGTAGAAACCACTGTAATAGAGGGGAAATCACAGCCTCTTTATCCAAAAGAAGTACCTCTAAATGTTTATAAAGCTCCTGATATAGCAGATCAATCATCCTGTGATGCGTTTGCAAAAGAACTACTGTTTCATTTGAAAAGAAACAAACAAGATGTCTCAATTACTTGGTCTGCTTTTAATCTGTCAATCAGCAGCATAAACCCCGATCTCACTATCGTTGGTTACATACCTTTCGTACAAGCACCTGCTTATGAAATAGATACGCTTAACACAGTTGTCCAGAAATGCATGTACATATATGAACGTCTTGGTCAATGTTATAATGTATTAACAGTTGATCAAGCTCTGTACTTCAAGTTGATGGATTTACAATGGTCAGTTCCAGAATACAGAGAGAGACTTGTGCCACAAAGGGGTGGCCATATTGCCATGACTTTCATGAAATGTATTGGAAATCATATAAGTGGTTCTGGTTTGTATGAACTCTGGATGGAATGTGAATTCCTCGGGCCTGTTGCTGCTCAAAATGTTCTAGCTGGAAATCACTATTATCGCGAGATGAGAGCCCGTAAAAATCACTGCCCAAGCTCTTTGGAAGATTCTGCTTCCCAGCTTTTTGTTATTCGTAGCTACACCAAGGACGTTAATCATTTACAAATATTGAATAATGTTATGAATGAACAGAAGGAATTTGGTCTAGTTTAGAGCTACTGCAGAATACAGTGTTTAGAGAATATTTTTTAAATTTCAGAGAGGAAATTACTAATCCAAATGTACTCTTCTGGTTGTCATATATGGATTAAGTTTGTATTCTCCTGGAATTTACAAAATCAGAAAGAGAAAGTTTGTGGGATTTGTATTTGTATTCATTCAGGGCCATGCTTCCATGGTTCTTTCGATATATATTTCGACCATATAAATTATGCAAGGTGGGGTTGTGTTTATCTGGCTGATTGTCACCGATTTCCGCTTGAGGTTTTTCAAGGGTTCAAACTTTGTTGTCAAAAAAGCCAAGGAACATTTAATCAAGTGGATCCAGATCAAAGTCAACAATGGCTTAACGCTACAGGTAAGAAGGGCGTGTGAATCCAGATGACATACTCACTAACAAGGATGCATCAAAGAGTCGACAGGTCCTTGAATCAGAGCTTGAGGAAACGCTAGTTAATACAATGAAAGGTTTAAAGTGCTTGACCCCTCCTACGAAATAGATGAATTAATCAACGTGATCACAAAAGACATCAGAGATTCGTTACTATCTGCAGCGCATTTGGGTCAAGTACAGTTGGAGGGTTTTGCTTCAGATCCTTTAATTCCAAACAAAAACACGGGTACATTAAACGTCCCTTTGCACCATTCTTTGAAAAAAGTAATCCTTTAACATTTGAATCCTTATACAAGGTACTGGTTGGTTCTAAAGCTGTTAAAGAAAGAAACATTCCATATGTTGATGAAACAAGAATATCAACAGTCTCGTTTAACGTCATCATTTCGTAAATTCTATGGTCGATACAATGACCTTGTCAGCAAATATAATTTATCATTGAATGAAATGCTGACTGACGTTTTTCATACCAATTGTTAGTCCATTATTTATACACTCAATTGACCACGGATTTTTTCCGTTATTTCCTGATTATGACAACGAGCACACGGCGGGTTTGACCGGTCGGCAGGGGATGCTCACTCAAAATTCGATTTCTCTAGGATCGATGTTCTGTTTGATCGCTACAGGGACCAATCAATAAAATCCGGAACTCGTTATTGCAGGACAAAAAGGCACCAACAAGTTAGAAGGATTGTTGAAAATCGAGACGTTCCTCTTCCAACTAACTTCGCTATCTTGTCTTTGAAAGAAAACAAGAAAGATCTTGCTGCTATGCTGTCAGAAGAATTAATTCTCCAAGCGCTTATTAGGAAAATTGTTGTTACTGCCGCGGGGTTCGTAGATAAAATTGATATGAAATGCAATGATGATATGTTAGAATTGTCTACGCTAGAGGCCACGCATGAAGAGGCAGACACTAGATTAGTACTGCTTCATGCCATACACTGTTCTTAAGTATCCGCTTGCGCCTCTATTGTCATTTTAGCATCCGATACTGATGTCTAACTGCTACTTGATGTCATTCTTTTCAGAAATAGATAGACATTTGTGGATGATTGCAGGAACTGTTTTAAAGCCAAAAAACATTCCTGTTCATGCTGTTGTAGTGAAAAACTTCTCTTCTTCAGAGTTACGCAAACATTTGGTAGCATTTCATGCACTGACGGGGTGTGACACAACATCTTATTTCTATGGTATTTCAAAGAAATCTTCCCTATGGGTATTCAAAGGTAATTATAAGCTACTCAAGGTCTTAGGCGAGGAGAATTAACTGATCAAAAAAAAAACCAAAGAGTGTGAAGAGTTCCTGTAAGTTGTATAACCAAGAAGCGGAGACTACTGATACGGTAAGGAATGTATTATTGGGAAATCAAAAAGCCCCGAGAATATGCCTCCAACTAATGATGCCTTATGCATGCAGGTAAAGCGAACACACTACCAAGCCTTGATTTGGAGACAGGCAAACATTTGTTAGCCCTCATTACCATGTCAAACAGAAATGGGGTGAAAGTTGGATGGTTGTAGTTTGGTGTCGATATTATGAATTTCAGATCAAATTCCAGAGGCTTGCCTAGATTTGTTAGCTTGCAACTGTACAAAAGGTTGTAAAACAGAGAGATGTGGATTCAAACGAGCCAATCGGCGATGTATCAACCTGCAAATGCAAAATCTTAAACAAAGATGAATGTAGAAATACAGCTGTAATAGCTAAAAACAGAGGAAATTCGAATTTTGGGAGAAAACGGCGTAACATATTTAAATTAAAGTGGTTTATTATTAGTTGTTACTATACAATATATATCAGATAATGTACATATGGTTATTTAATCAGACTTTTCCCGCTTGAACGGTGATAACAAAAAATTTTGGAAGAATTTGGTGTCCGTCATTTTGAATCGCCGTTTTGACCCACTTAACGCCATTTTTAGGGTTAGTTTAAAAAAAAATTAAATGTACAAAATGCTATTAATATGTACTTGTATTTTATATGGCATTTATATTTCAAAGTAGGACATCAGAAAATGAATTCAAGTTCGTTTTATATCTGAATTTGAGAAAAATATTACAATTTAAAGGAATTAAGAATACTTTCGTTACAGAAAAGAGGTATGTACAATGAACGATATTTCTCGATATTGTCGACAAAATCTACATTCTCTTATTTTATAACATATTTAGTGTAGCACGGTTGGATAATACATGTTTTTATCTTTGTTGCAATGTTTAAAGGGACAGAGCCACAATTTCAATTGCATTTTTTAAACCAATTTTAATATTTACATTTCCCAACAAAGGCTTAATTCATCTAATGATCAGCAAAAAAAATTGAACATCATTTGTTGATAATATAAGCCATATGAGTTGACCCAATTTTATGGTGATATGGGGTACATTTATTCATATACTTCTTCATGAGAAAAGAAAAACAGTTACTTTGGCTAAAAAGTAAGATTCAGACTCACACTTTATCGACAATATTAAATTATTTTAAAATAGTGAATTGTGGTAAGATTCATTAATATGTGGACTCGATTTATTGAAAACGTCACAGGAGGGTTGAAAACCAAGTCCACCCGAACTCATACATAGTGCCTCTTGTGTAGCATGCCAGCGATCTTATTACTGAGCTATTAAGTCTTAAGATATTGTCACGTCCCAATGAATGGGTGACATTGAAATTAATTATATCAAATAATCTGCCTATTTGAAAGTTTTTTTATTGGGGGTTTTTCTATTAGGAGAAAGGCTATTAACAACTTAATGATTTGATCTTGAACTCAGTAGGATCAATTTAAAGCGAGGCTACTCAGTGAAAATGGAATACCATAAACATGGAAAACAAAAAGGTAGTTGAAAAACATGTAATGTTCTCGTCTGTAGGAACTCTTAGTGTTCTGTTTAATATAGCAATATTGAGGTATGATCTGATTGTTTCACTTAAAGAAGACATGATATACCTTTACAATACAAGCAAGACAACTGACTGAACAATGTGGTTTGCACAGAACCAGTGACTTTCACTCTAAACATGTTATTTTGTGGAATAAAAAATTGGACATTCCCCGGTATGTACCATGTACAACAACAATTGAAAGCTTTCCTAAAACAAGACAATAAGTTATCAGGTGTCCAAGACAAGGGCACATTGGTCTGTATGGCCCACAAGACAATGGAATATGAGCAAAAACGGATGTTTTCGGGGGAATATCAATTATCTCTTTCAAAAACAATTTGAAGAGACCATAACACAAAAACTGACAGTGATTCATTGAATAAAAGATTTTTTTTCTCTAGAAATTGGATTCTCCATTCTAATTCATTTTCGGGTGTGTTTCCAATAGGTAACGTAATGTTTAAAGGGACAGAGCCACAATTTAATTATTTTTAAAACCAATTTTAATATTTACATTTTCTAAAAAACTCAGTTCATCTAATGATCAGCAAAAAATGATGCACTTAATGAT